TATATAGATAGATAGATAGATAGATAGATAGATAGATATGTAGTTAAGATATCCTTTATTGTCCCACACGGGAAATTTACATTTTTTATGTATTTGGAGAGAGAGAGAAACACAAAAAAATACACAAATCTCACCCAAACTTTTTTTTTTGAGAATATGCCTGCACATTACTAATGTGGTCCTTGGTTACTACCCAGTGCCCACGTTGGTGAGCCAGTTCTACACAATTTATACAAGTTATTTTCTCAACCGAAAATTGATTTTATGTCAACATATGTACACATATAAAGAACAAATAAAAATGTCCCAATTACCAATTTCTGATTATGTATTAGTCACTGAGAACCAAAAATACAAAAAAAAAAAAAACCCAAGGTTAGGCTATGATACATATGGATAATGCTTACACAACAACTTGTTTTTTTTTTATTTGGTTTGTTTGTTTTTTGTAGTGGCAACAAGCAGTTCTGCAGCCATGTCACTGCATCATATGCTTTGCAGTATACTGTGGAGGGGTATTCACAGTTGCAGTCCTTTGTCCAACAAGAGACGTCTGGTCACACTCTCTGCATTCAGTCACATCGTAAGTCCTAAAAATATTTCAATACTTCCCCGGACCGTTAAAAGTGTTGAAGCCGTTCATCAAGCAAGAATGGAAAGAATCCCCATCTACGAAGCTTCAGCAATTAGTGTCCTCAGTTCCCAAACTTTGATTGAATGTTGTTAAAAGAAAAGCTGATGTAACACAGTGATATCAATGATCCTGTACCAGCTATAAAATTCTAATGATGATTACTTGCTAAAAGCAAGAACAATGAACGTGTACTATCTTGTCTTTGTAGTGTATTCTATTAAATATAGGTTGAACATGATTTGCAAATCATTGTGCTCTGTTTTTATTTATGTTTAACACAACTTCCCAACTTCATTGGAAGTGTATTTGTGGCTGTAATCTTATGAAACATGCCAGTAGTTATCCCAAAACAAAATTGTGTCAAGTGAAATGGTGAGTGGATCGTAACTATGGGAAACCACTACCCTCAGTGCCTGGTGAGCAAATCGGTTAATGTCAAGCCCTGGTTGTCTCATAGCTGCATTTGTCTTTTAATTGAAAACCCAGATATATTTAATCCACAGTAAAAAATAAAAGATTTGGCCTCACTTTTGGAGCAGATTTTTCCAAGTTTGTCTTGGAACTTTTTTTAAAAGCTGAGTTTGTGTCTCATACGTGTACTCATCATTTGATGTCAAACCCAAATATTTTTCATTGATGAAGATTTGGCCTGACTTTAGGAGGGGTGTGTATGAGTGGGAGTGTATGTACTTCATGTAATTTGCTTCATTTCCAAGTTTGTCTAGCTTTCTAATATCGGTTATTTTTTTCAGGTCTTGACGGATTTTACTTTCCTGCCCCTACTCTTCCACTGTCTGGAAACTTTGATTTACTCTTCAACCAGTTTAATAGGTTTGCTTTCAGTTCACCGGAGAATAATGACATGTCTACATATATCCCTACTAAATTTTATCAGGCAAGTATGTTTAAGAAGTGAGGATTTTCTATTTTCCATCTTCCCTACCGACACAACATTATTTAGGATCATCTGTTTCATTAGCGAATTATTTGTGGTTTGCTTCTTTCAGTATGGAGTTGCAATCATGTCTGTTGAAGAAGAGGGAAAAAGAGGAATCTTTTACCTGCCAGCTTCCAGTATTTCTGTTGACTGCCTTGACCAGAGTCCTGCAGGTAGTTACTGTAATACTATTATTAACATTCTGGGTATGCTCACACTTGACAGGTTTGGTGTGGTTAATTGAAATAGTTAGCTCTGGTATTGCTCTTGGTTTGATCAATTGCAAATGTTATTATTGTATTGTCCAGGGAAACCAGGACAATGAAAGTCTTTGTATAACAATGAGATTTATTTCAGCTGCAACTTTTGAGAAACACCATGTGACAGAGTGTAAAGTCTATAACAGAGCGTCTCCTCCCCATTGGTCGGTGAAACATGATCTTCAGTGTGCTTCAGCCACACCAGCTAGTCAGAAGGGGTGTTCACACGGCAACATTTGCTCCGGTGCTGCGCCGGGGCTACCCCAGTAGAGCGTTAACACGTGCAAAGTTACACCGGTGTAGCCCCTGAAAACAGCTTACTCCGGAGCAAATTTTAACCCACCTCAGGGAGGTGGTTTAAAAATTGGCTCCAGAGCAAATGCTCGTTTACAGGGCAGCACCGATGTAAAATGGTACGTGTGAATGCTACAGGGTTAAAAATTTGCTCCGGAGCAAATGCTCGTTTGCGGGGGGAGTAGCCTCGCTACGCATGAGAAGAGTTGATTACGTACGGCTAGGATGCGTTGCTTTTGTGCTCTGTTGTACTTGCGTCATCTGTTTGTCTAATAACGACACAAGACATGATGGCCGGCAATAACAGTAGAATGGCAACTGGCAATAACAGTAGCAAGCAGCATCTTGCCTCTTGAGTTATACCATCTCAAATAGAACGGGGGGGGGGGGGATAGTCCCTCCCCAAACATCATCTTTCCTTTTGTAGGAAACTGGACTGTCTCGGAGTTGTTTGTGTAGTTGGTCCTTTGTTGTGTGTTCACAACCCCCCCCCCCCATAGAATTTATTTTGTGATTTCCTTTCTTGATTTTCTGTTTTGCGCATTATATGTTCGCTTTTCTGAGTGTCATTGAAGTCATCGTTGATTTACGTTTTCGGGGGGCGGTCACTGAACGCCTCTCGAGCAGAATGCACGGAGACAGAGAAGTGGAAGTACGTGCCTGTACAGCAGTTGCTTGAGTTGTATGTTTTAAAAAGAACCAACACGACAGCTCTTTTTGTTTTCTATCGTTTTGCTCCGCTGCAGAAACTGCCGTGTGACCACAAGTGAGGCTGCACTGGCGCTGCGCCGGAGTTAACACGCTCAGCGGCTTTGTACGTGTGACCGCTCCACAAAATTTGCTCCAGTGTAAAATATATCGCAACAAAATACATTGGTGCAGCACCGGAGCAAATGTGTGCCGTGTGAACACCCCTACAGTTTAAAATCTAATTTTCCATCACAATTCCCCTCTTTTGATCCAAAGGATCAACAAAGAGCCAGGACAATGACCGGATGACACAAATTTCACACATAATGCTTGTACATTTAAATGGCCGTATATCTAGAGTCGAACTGAAGCAGCGTCACAGTTCAGGGTCAGTCGTCGTTAACAGGAGTCCCATAACTATACTCAAGGGAGAGTGCAATGCTGTTTTTATGGGGGACAGAATCCTGAGATAACACGGCAAAGCATTAGTAGGGAGAGCAAAAGAGATTTTGGTCTCTTTATAAACACATTGGCTAAACCCCGGTGGAACGAAAAAAGACGTCATGGACGAGACTACTATTGTGTAGAAAACTATATATTTGGATTGAAAAGAGAGAAAAGTGTCCTGAGGGAAAAAGGGGGTGTAACAAGATTAGGACAGAAAACCCTTCCCGGGCAATGGCTACACACAGTAAATGAAAATCAAATCACACATTAAATGGAAATCGAAATCTAACCTAAACACCCAGTAAATGAAAATCAAAAATCCACTATACTAACTACTATATACAAAATAAGCCAACCCAAGACATCAAACATTCACATCTGCAATGCTTTTCTGTGAAGTCATCGTACAGGCTTACATAGGGTTACAGTAAATCCTCGTCAAAATCAGTGTTAAAATAATCCTCGTCAGACTCCGTGTGCACCTGTTGATACTCCGACATGGCCACAGTCAGCTGAGCTGCGACTTTAATTTCGATAGCATTCATGACTTTGGCCGCACAAACTCTTCCCAGTGGAATACCACAAGCGGCACAAAAACAAGAAAATAAAAATATACAACCAATGCTTGAGGCAAAGGTGACTGCTATGCCTTTCCATTTCCCAAACGTATCCTGCAGCCATTGTAAAAGGGCGTTCGACTTGACCCCCTCTATCTGCTGTGATTTCTCCCTATAGGCTCTGAGCAGCGTGAGGGTTTCAGTTAACGAACCGTTAGACAATGTGTGTAGAGGGATGAAGGTACAGCAATCGCCGGTTTCAATCATTTTACACACTCCCCCACGTTCGGCCAATATCATATCTAGTGCTTGCCTATTCTGCAAGGCCACGAGCGATGTAGCATGCAATTGTGACGCTGTATGCATGAATAGTGCCTCGGTAAAGTTAGTCAAAGTGTTAACCTTGTGATTCAGATAATTGATTAGTTCGGTGTGTTTATATGTGGTTACTGGGAACAGGCTACCTATGATGGGGAGCTGAGAGAACGCCGCGTCCACCTCGTTCAACAGTTTATCTTTATCGGGAATACTCCGGGGTTGGCCAATTGCATCAAAATAAACGGGAGTGTTTCGTGTAATTGGAGGTCTCGGTATATTATCACCTGCATCTCTCTTCAGCCTGTGCGTACTGTTGAGCGTCGACTCATCATCATTTACAACAAAGGAAGTCGTTTGTTGGACCCCAGTAACATACACACAAGTCCCTGACCAATAAGACGACAACTTGGCATACAAAGTCCCTCCGCCACAATACCACCACAACTGTGACCGTCGGACGAAGTCGGTGAGGCTTGTCGAGACAATCTTGGTGACGTTACATAGAGTGGAGTTAATGCTACCGTGGTCAGTGCATTTGGTTTGTTTGCAACTATCCCGTTTAAAACACGTGAAATGCCCGGACGTCGGAGGATGGAACAACATTGGTTTCGTGTCTGCTTGCACAACAGGGAAATGAGTTGAGTATGCTGAACAGAAGGCGGTGCCCCTCAGTCCCTGGGTCATATTCAAGACACACTCAGATGGTATAGCTTCCACAATTTGTAAAGCGGCACGCGGTTTCATACAAACGACGCAATCTTTCTTTAAGGATTTAGCTACCGCCACAACTCGTTCGAGGAAAAGGTTGTCGTTAATTCCTACACCAGTGTCTTCCTTCAACAGGGTCTCAATAGTTTCACCTCTGTAATGGGTTGTAACACCCCGCACCGAGGTTCTCCTTCCATCGCGTAGTATCGTGACACTTGCGGGCGGGCTGTCCCCCCGTGGTCTCCCCTGTTTGGTGGGTCGTGGCGGGACAACACATACTTTGATGGGGACATTCGGATGCGATCCTCCATTATACCAAGCCCACAAAACAAGCCACGAGCATTCATTGCTATCAGCATTGGGCAACGCAGTCATAGAGGAAAAAACGAAAGTTATTGTGGTTTCATCACTATTTCGAGTTTTGCTTATTTTAACCTTGTCGACCCAGTTTCTGGCCTGCAAATTCCGCGTTGGGTTTTTATAATAATCACCGGAGATCGAAGTAACATAATTATCCCATGTCTGCCAGCTATCCCTTTTTCTCGGGTCCGGGACGCTAGTTAAATAAAACCAGTAGTCAGCCCATTCACTAAACCTAATCGGGGAAGGTGTCTTTTTACCACATTCGCGCCTGACGTGTCCCACACACACAGTCCGTGTAGGCGAGATGGACTGAAAAGCGGAAAGGGGAACAGTGAGCACCGTTTCCCTGTCCAGTTGTGGGAGGGTGATAAGAGTACCAGTCCGACCCCTGAGGATCGCAACGTCTTTTCCTCCTGTCAGTCTGTTGCCTCCTGCCTCCCGGCGTCGAATCTCATGGGGTACATTGCCCCATTCGTGGGCCCGTGTACCCACAGTGGCCGCACCTAGATCGGTGATGCTGCTGATGATGATGATGCTGATGATGCACAGGCAACGTGTGACTGCCTTTCCTGTGATCTGCTCCATTTTCCTGAGACGGGTGTGTTTACCACGGAAAACCCTCTCTCCCACTGTGGTCTTTCGGCGGCACGCAAGGTCAGCGCACTGGGGTTTGGGTGTTGACTTTCCTTCCCGGGACTGGCGTCGCTAGGCCCCTCAACCTCGAACCGAAGGAGCTTGCACTGCGACTGGTGGATCCAGCCGTCGCGTCCTTCGACCTTGATCGCAGTCTTTGTTGCTGCAATCACTTGGAAGGGGCCATTCCAGCGTTCACTGTCCCAGCGAAGTCTTTTCAACACCTTGAGGAACACCTGGTCTCCAACCTGGACCTGGCAAGTCTGTGGAGCAGAACACGCTGGCAAGTCATTGTGCCTATGCATCTCTTTCTGATCAAATAGTCTTTTCATGTGTGTGGAGATGCAAGCACCCATTGTCAGTGGGGCTGGTGCAAGGTTAGGAAGTCTATATGGTCTCCCATACAGGATTTCAAATGGTGATAGTGTCATTCCCTGTGATGGTACTATTCTCATTGATGTGGCCACGATGGGAATGCAGTCAGGCCATTGTCTCTTAGTCTCTCTCATTGTCTTAATGAGTCTGGCTTTGACAGTTCCATTAGTGCGTTCCACAAGTCCAGCCGATTGTGGGTGGTACGCACAGTGTCGCTTCAAATCAATGTCCAACAATACACTTATTCTGTTAACAGCTTGGTTCACGAAATGTGTTCCGTTGTCGCTTCTGATAACAGATGGAATGCCAAACGTCGGAATTATGCGTTCACACAATGCTTTTACGACGGTTCCTGAATCATCGCGAGCACTCGGAAACAGTTCAACCCATTTTGAGAACACATCAACAACAACAAGACAGTATCGTTTCCCTTGTGTTTTGTTCAATTCAATGTAGTCCATGTGTATTGTGTGAAATGGTTCTGGTGGGTCTGGGAATGTTCCTCTTTTCGGTCTCAAGTAACCCTGTGCATTATTTTTCAGACAGGTTACACAGCGTCGACAAAAATTCTTTGAAAAATGCAAAAACCCATGGGTGTGATAGTATTGATGCACCTGTGCTATCATCCCCCCTGTTGACACATGTGACAAGCCATGTGTCAACCTCGCGGCCCACCCGAAAAGGGAGTTTGGGAGCCACGGTTTCCCATCTTCCAATTTCTCTATCCCTGTGTCATCTGGTTTTGCTCCCTTGTTTGTCCAATATTTTCGCTCCGTGTGAGGCGCTAGAGTTTGTCTTGATTTCAAGACATCATGTGTTGTTTT